CGCCCTGCCCCTGCCCGTCGCGTCCGCCCTGGCAGCCCGCGCGCCGCCCTCTGCAGCCCGCGCGCTGCCCTTACCTGCCCGCGCGCCCTCCCGTGCCCGTGCGCCGCCCTACTTGCAGCGCGCCGCCCTGCTCTGGCCGTGCGCCGCCCTTCCCTAACCGTGCGCCGCCCCGACCTACCCTAGTGCCTGCTCGTCGCCCTGCCTTCCCTGCGTGCTGACGTGCTGGTCGCACGCCTCCTTGCTTTACCCGCTATGACTTCTCTTCGTGGTTGCGGTGGGAGTGGTGGCGGCGGTGGTGGCAGTCGTGGGAGTGGTGGCGGCGGCCGTAGTGGCAGTCTCGGTAGAGCTGTTCGGTGGGAAGTTTCTGGTGGTGGCGAGATGAAGCTCCAGTGGTGTCCGCACGAGACCCTTACGCCCTAACAGCTTCGTCCGTGGTACGCTAGTGGGAGTGGTGGCGGCGGCCGTAGAGGCAGTTGTCGTGGAGCTGTTCAGTGGGGAGTTTCTGGCGGTGGCCAGATGCAGCTGCAGCGGCGTTCCCGTGAGACCCTTACGCCCCAGCAGCTTTGTGAGTGGTACGCTCAGCATGGGCGTCTCGGAGTAATGCTCGTTGCCCGTACGTCATTCGCACAGGTGATCGGGCTGGTCAGACTTGCGGGACGATTGGTCACACAGAGTCTCGCCGCTTGCCCTGTCTGAGCAACGCCTGGTGCGCAGAATTTGGCGACGCGGCTGAGCTCCCCCGCTGCCACGAGCAGCTCTACTACCTCCCGCACCTCCTGCTCCAGCACCTCCTGCTCCAGCACCTCCTGCTCCAGCACCTCTAGCACTAGAAACTCCAGTACCTCCAGCACGAGCAGCTCCAGTACATTCAGTACCTCCAGCTCCAGCAGTACGAGAACCTCCAGCTCAAGTAGTACCAGCACGTCCAGCTCCGTCACCGGGGCTGTCCCATCGGACAGCCCACTCGCGAAGCCGCTCCAGCGAGAAAGTCTCCTGTAGACGTGCACCAGTACCTCCAGCACTAGTGCCTCCAGCACCAGTACCTCCTGAACCTCCAACTCTAGTACCACCAGCACCAACACCCATTGCTCTAGTAGCTTCAGCTCCAGCACGTCCAGCTCCGCCACCGGGGCTGCCCCAGATCCAGCGGATCAACACACTATGGACATCCGCCTTGCTCTGCAAGGGGAAGATCGTGGTGTAGTGGATGTAGTTATCAACAATTAGGAAAAAGAAGCGCTCTCCTCCTTGTACAGTGACGCGGGCTGGACCCCAAACGTCCATGTGGAGGGTCTGCAGAGGAGCAGTGGTCGGAGGAAACGAGGAGGAGTGAGGAGCGACGCACTGCCGCCCCTCAACGAAGGGAAGGCATGGCGGCGCAAGCAACCCCAGGAGCAGGGGCAGGGACCTGGGGAGGCCAGACACAAGGAGACGGGACTGCATGCCATGCAGGCGTGGCAAGGAGGGGTGACCAAGACGGTGGTGCCAGAGGAGAGTCTGGTGCGTGAGGAGACGACACGAAAAAGACGCAGCTACCTCAACCGACGCAGCTACTTGACCTGACTCAGCCACGTGTGCAGACTCAATGGTCAATGTATAAAGACCAGACCCGGCCCTCCGAGTGAACGTGGCGAGGTGCTCACTAGTGCGTGAGTTTGTACAGATCGCCACAAGCTCTCCCCCAGACTGGGTAACAGTGACGAACTGGTCCTGTAGGACAGCTGTAGCCGCCAAGTTCCTAGCGAACAAGGGGAGGTGGAAACCTGTGAGGGAACCGGAGGGGGTTGCCAGACACGGGAGAACAGTGGAGCTACGTGCAACAACTAGGCCACCAGAGGGGTCGGCCAGAGTGACAGGGATAGGGGCTGTGAGCGGTGTGACTGTGGTGCAGTCGCGGAAGAAGCAACGAGATGCGCCTGAGTCGAGTAAGAAAGTGTGCAAGGCCTCTTCAGGCTCTGCATCTGTGCTAGCTGAGTCACACGCACCTAGACTAGTAGCCTCTACACCTCCAGGTGCCTCTACACCCCCAGCACTGGTACCCAAAGCTCCGCCACTAGGGCTGCCCCACCGGACAGCCCACTCACGAAGCTGCTGCGGCGATAGGGTCTTTGGCGGACGCTGCTGCCGCTATTGTCCACCCCCAGGACCTTCGCGGCCACCAGCTGCACCACCAGCAGGAGTAGACGTACAGGTACATATATTCGCCGCCTCGACTAGCTGATGTATCTCCCCTAACAACAGACGGCTCTGCCGTAGTGGCCGGGTGGTAGGAGAAAGTTTAGAGTAGTGCCTAACCACAACGTCATAGAGAGTGTGGGCCGACGTCACCTGACGAAAGTGGGTCCTCTGCTCGACTGGCAGGTGAGTGCGAACAGTAAGCTCTGCGACAGTGTCGCGCTCCGTCCACTGTGCAGGCAACGCAGTCCGCCCAGTACCGCCTACGCACAGTCTCGCCAGCGTCAGCAGCAAGCTGAGCGGGAGTCGTGGGGGCCTAAAGGGACCCCGACGTGTGCTCAAGCAGGGAGACACCATCTTTAAGGAACCGCCGGAGATACCGGTGCAGGGTTTAGGGTGAGCGCAAACAGCAAGCTCTGCAACAGCGTCTCGCTCCGTCCACTGTGTGCAGGCAACGCAGTCCGCCCGGTACCGCCTCCGCACGGTCTCACCAGCGTCAGCAGCAAGCTCAGCGGGAGTCGTGGTGGAATGAATTGACCCCGACGTGTGCTCAAGCAGGGAGACACCATCTCTAAGGAAACGCCAGAGATACCGGTGCAGGCCGGCGAGCCGGGACTTGAACATGAAAGGGCGCCCGTCGGCGTCAACCGCTAGGACAGTGAGAGTGGCCATGGCAGCAGTGCCCTAGATATCAGACTTTGGAGTCTGAATCAGAGTCCGTTCAGACTTTTTTTTTGTACCTAGTCTGAACTCAAAGAATTTATTTTTGTACCATGTCTGATTTTCCAGAGTTCTTTCTTATGAGTTGTATGAATTTTCAGCCAAATTTTACTGGGGTAGGCTGAGCCTCAGACTTGTATCGGGGATACACACTGCGCGCTTATCGGAGAAAACTTTCCTGGAAGTTTCTTTCCGATATGCCCACTTCCGAGATGGCAGTGGAGTGCCAGGACGTGAGCAACGCTCACTTCGACAGCTGGGACATCCAAATACACTCGTTCGTCGAGAATATCTTCCAGTTACGCTGAGGAAATGGTTGCGTGATTACGAGATTTCTGAAGACAAAATCTCGTCACATGTAAGTTATCGCTAATGTATTGTAAAGAATAGGCTACTTTGATGCTGATTTGCTGTAAAAACATCTGCAGCACGCACTGGTGTCAATTGCGAAGTTCCTGATTCGTACTGTAAGTTTCGTGTGGCACTGTCTGATCCTCACATGCCACGCCAAGCAACAGTTTCTGCCTGCTGCCAGCTCAGCTGCGTGGCACTTGGCCCACCTGATACAGATTGGGTGAACGATCGAATCGCTTGAAAAGCAAATCCAAAACTGACAAAATTGGCACACATGCGAGAAAATGGGTACAGAACGGTAATCACACCACGACAAAACGAAATGAGATCAGCAGAGCAGAAACAACCATGCGCTGCACGTGACAAAAACACTAGAACGCCGCCGACATGAGCAGAGGCGATGCACGAGCACGAGCACGTTGCCTGATGCGTTGGTATGGTAGGCTGTAATCAGCCTCAATGCTATTATAACTGCTTTTACGAAACTGCATGAACATCTCAAAATTTGAAGTTACTCTGACAGTTCAGACAGAAAAAATTGTGCTTGTCTGAATTTTCAGACTAAAATTTTGAGGCACCTATGACAGACAGAGTTCCAGGAGGGGTGTACTCTGAGGCCTCAGACTACCTCAAAACGAATCTAGGGGCCTGCATGGCAGGCAGTGGCAGTAGTAGTAGGAGTGCACGAGCAGGGCGCACGCGCGCTGGCAGGGCAGGGTAGCTGCGCGTGCAAGGTAGCAGCACGGGGAAGAGCGCACGCGCGTGGGTAAGGTGCTTACGAGGCACGGCACGGGTCGTTGGGCAACAAGGCGCGCTGGGCACTGGGCAGCGGGGCGCGCTGGCGCGGTGGGCAGCGGAGGGACGCGCTGGCTCGCTGCACAGCAGGGTGCACGAGGCATGCGAGGGCGCGCGGGACAGTGCGCACGCTACTGGGCAGTGCAGTAAGCGAGCAGGGCAGAACGAGTGGTGGGCCCTAAACAAAAACGATCCTACGAACCGCTCTGAAACCATGTCAGAATCAACGAGCAAAATTATTGACTAGAAAGCAAGGATGAGTACAAGTACTAGGGTTGACCTAAAGTGTTGTACCACTTAGAGTATGCCCCACTACAACCCAATACATACAAATGCAATTTGACACTCTGTTCTAACATTGATAGTATCAAATCGCTTCCTTTCTCCATACATCAATTTGCAGCCAAATTTGTTTGAAACCTTCTCTGTTGATACCCATAATACACTTGTCATCAGTAGCTTCTTAGGCCCACGACAGCGGTGGGAACTTGTCATTGGGTTGGTGCAAGTGGGGTGTACATAGGGACTTGGTTGGACTTGGGCTGGAGAGGCATAGGGCGAGAAGGCAGGCTTCAAGGAGAGAGCAGAGGCTTAGAGTGTGGCATGGTGATCAGTGGGATTGAGCAGTGGGGTAAGAGGGTGGTAATCAGTGGTAAAAAGGGGAGTGAAGCACAAACTGGGAGTCATGTCAGGGATGAGTGGTTTGACTGGGTAGGGGAGGCAGAGGGCGAGCAGGCAGCCTTGCAGAGCGGCATGGTAATCAACAGGCAGGCGGCTTGAGCGAGTGGTGAGAGGAAGAGGGGTGAGGCTGAGGAACAAGTGGGGTTGTCATCTCAGGGACGAGTGGGTTGACTGGGAGGGGGAGGCTGTAGGGCGAGCAGGCAGGCTAGGGCAGAGATGAGAAGCGCAGAGAGTGTGATGTGATGGCGCAAGGCGGATGAGTGGGAGAGGGGGTGTCATCTGAGGGAGGAGTGGTTGGACTGGGCGGGAGAGGCGTAGGGCGAGATGGCAGCCTTGCAGAGCGGCATGAGGGACTGCACCACGTCATCCATGTGCGGCCTGTAGTCTGGGTCGGCCTGCAGGCACACTGCTGCTACAGAGGCCGCCTGGTGAAGGGAGGCAGAGAGGGGATGGGGGCAAGCAAGGAAGGGTGGGGGATGAGGAGGCGAGATGGCAGCCTTGCAGAGCGGCATGAGGGACTGCACCACATGGTCCATGTGCGCCTGTAGCGTGGGTCTGCCTGCACGCACGCGTACACCGCTGCCACTGACTCCGCCTGGAGTCTGGGGTGGAATGGAATAAGCAGGGCCGGGTGGGTTGAAAGAAATAGACGGCACCAACTCGTGAACGGGGGAAGGCGCAATGCCATTTAGCCGAGCCACGGCTCCACCAATTCCCACCCACTCATGCTTTGTAGGCGCTTTTACAGGACAAAACGTTTTTTCGAGATCCACTTTTTTTCACACAATCTTTTCCTTCGGCTTGAGCGTCATCCTTTTCACACACTGCAGCCTTCTGCCAGGTGTGAAGGAACTAGTGCAGCACAGGCACAGTGCCATCCAACCACTGGTGTCTGGCCTCATGCACCAACACCCGCCCCCACTCCCATCCCATGTAGAGCCCCCCATCCGATGTCTCTATGCACCACCATCAACCACTCTGGACCGTACCTGCATGAAGTGGTGCAAGGGCACGGTGCCGTCCAGGCTAGCAGCTCTCCTCTCCCAGCGTCGCGTCGCACAGCAACAACAACACCACCGCGCGCCCCACTGCTATGTGCACCATGCCCTGCACTCCTATGTGCACCATGCCCTGCATATCTCTACGCTTCTTTGCCCCTATGCAACCGCCACAGGCATCAAGTCCCCACCCACCAGCTGCCCACATGCCACCCACCTGCATGAACTCGTGCAGGGGAACAGTCCCATCCAGACGCGGGTCCAGCAGCTCTCCCAGCCTCTCCCGTTGCGTCAGCAGCGGCAGCGCCTGTTGGGGGGAGATGGGCAGGCATGAGGAGGTGGGGAGGCACGAGGAGGTGGGGAGGTTGGGTGATAGAGAGGCATGAGGAGGTGGGGAGGATGGGTGGTAGAGAGGCACGAGTCGAAATGAGAGGCAAGGGAGCAAGTGAGCAAGGTAGTGAAGGCATCAACGGCTGAGGACGGCTGGGTGGTAGTGAGACACGGACAAGTCACGATAACAGCAGCCCCTTCCTCTCTCCCCCAACCTCCCTCTTTGTCACGACTCACCCACGGCGTCAGCCACACCACTCTGTACGGAGGCCTGTTGTGGTCCATGGGAACAAGCCCTGTGAGCAGCTCCAGCAGCACCTTCTGCCCCCTCCCATCTCCTTTCCCCCCCCTTCCTCCCCCCTAAAGCATCACATCACAATGACTCACCCAGGAAGTGAGGGAGACTCTATTGAGAGGCCTGTCGTGGTCGATGGGGGTGAGCCCTGTGAGCAGCTCCAGCAGCACGATGCCAAACGAGTACACGTCTGACTTGGGGGTCAGGCGACCGGTGGTAACATATCTGATGAGGGTGAGGGAGGGGAGGGGGGAACAGAGAGGGGCAAAAGGAGCCTGGGCGGTCGGACGGCACGAGCCCTGGGAACAGCGCCAGCAGCACAATGCCGATGCCAAACGAACAGCTCAGTGTAATTTTCCCTTGGCGGTGCTTAAGGTGATTCAACCTCGGATATTACTCACTCTGGGGACAAGTAACCTGTGGTGCCCAAAACACGTGTCGACACCCAACGCTTCTCCCCACTGGGACCATCCCGAGCCAACCCAAAATCAGCAATGCGCGCATGGAAGCTGTGAGGTTCGGGAGAAGGAAACGCACGGAGAAAAGGGTAAGTGGTGCTGTGAGGCTCAGTCCCCACTGGGGCCGTCCCGAAGCCAGCCCAATGCCAGCAGTGCTTGCAGGGAAACTGATGCAAGGGAAACTAATGCAAGGGGAGGGGAAAAGTGGGGCGAGAAGGGGAGCGAGGAAGTGAGGAGAAAGGGACACGGGGTGACGTGAGTCTCGTCCCTACTGGGGCCGTCCCCAGCCAACCCAACCCTAAATTCCGGTGAATGACTGGCGGGTTGGCGACGTGGTGCGTGCGGGAACATGAGTGGCTGTGGTGCATGCGGGAACATGAGTGGCTGTGGTGCATGCGGGAACATGAGTGGCTGTGGTGCATGCGGGAACATGAGTGGCTGTGCGGCGTCCAGATAGTAACCGCCTGAGCATTTCTGTGCAGCAGCCCAGCCCACTCTTTCGTGGCCCACCAGCACGTTGCTGCTACTCGTGGCCCACCAGCACGTTGCTGCTACTCGTGGCCCACAGCACGTTGCTGCTACTCGTGGCCCACCAGCACGTTGCTGCTACTCGTGGCCCACCAGCACGTTGCTGCTACTCGTGGCCCACCAGCACGTTGCTGCTACTCGTGGCCCACCAGCACGTTGCTGCTACTCGTGGCCCACCAGCACGTTGCTGCTACTCGTGGCCCACCAGCACGTTGCTGCTACTTAAATCACGGTGAATGGCAGCGGGGGTGGCGGCGTGGTGCAGGAACATGAGCCCATCCGGGCAGTGCTTTGAGTCAACTCAAAACGCGGCGCGGTGCCATGAGCCCATCCGCACATGAGCCCATCCGCACATGAGCCCATCTCCACATGAGTCCCCTAGCAGTTTCCACACACCAAGGACTCACCTGTCAACCAGGCACCTCGCACTGCAAGCAGCAGCAGCAGCAGCAGCAGCAGCGGACTCACTCGTGGTCCACCAGAACGTTGCTGCTCTTGAAGTCGCGGTGAATGACAGCGGGGGTGGCGGCGTGGTGCAGGAACATGAGCCCGCGGGCGGCATCCAGAGCGATCTGCATGCGCTGCTGCCACTCCACCTGCGGCCTCTCCCTCCCAAACCGCTGCACGAAGCTTCCTGGAAGGGGGAGAAGGCCCAGAAATATGAGGCAGGAAAAAAAAGGAGGGGGGGAGGGGGAATAAAAAATCGGTGGAAAGGGACAAAAGGGAGATGGGAGAGGCGAGTTGCCTCTGTTGAAGGTTTAACGTGGGAGGCGAGAACCACTTGTTATCTCACACTCACCATCACAGTCATTGTGCAAGAGGTTGTACACCAGAAATATATTGCTCTCCAAACCACTCTATAATGCGTGTAACATATCCTATATACCCATAACACATATCATTCCACACTCACCATCACTGCTGTTATCATGCAGCAAGTCGCTCAGGCTCCCATTCGCCATGAGATTGTACACCAGCACCCTGTTCCCCCCTGCCATGCAGTAGCCCACCAGATGCACCAGATGCGGCGACCTGAGCCGACTCAGCAGCTCCACCTACAAGGGAAGGGAGATGGGGTGGATGGGAAGGAGGGGAAGGAAGAGGAGGAGGAGAGGGAGGAGAGACATGAGATTGTACACCAGCACCCTGCTCCCCCCTGCCATGCAGTAGCCCACCAGATGCACCAGATGCGGCGACCTGAGCTGACTCAATCAACAGCTCCACCTGCTGCAAGACCAAGGGACGGGGAATGGGGGATAAGGTTGCATGTTGGGGAGTGGTAGACAATGGCATGACCTGTGCCTCATCTGTGCCTCATCTGTGCCTCATCTGTGCCTGAAACTCCTGATCGCAATCCAGGCCTTAAGCCCGAAATCCCGGACCAAGCCCCAAACTCAGGCATATCGTCTCACCTCTGCCTGGAACTCTCACCTCTGCCTGGAACTCTCACCTCTGCCTGGAACTCTCGGTCGCCCTGACTGCTCCCCGCTTCCAGCACCTTCACCGCCACGCCAGCCCCCGCCAGCCTTCCGCAGTACACGCGCCCAAACCCGCCCGACCCAATCACGTTCGCCTCTGCCAGGTTGTCCGTTGCTCCCTGGAGGGAAAGAACGAAGGGGGCGGGGGAAGGGGGAAGGGGGAGGAAGTCAGCTATGGTTGACCCCCTCCAGCCTGCCACAGTAAATGCGTCCAAACCCGCCCGACCCAATCACTGCGACTCGTGATAAGCCGTCCCTCGACATCCAATGAACCACTCAGCAACTCACAAGTCTAACCTGCGCCATATGCCGTCCCTTGGCGACTTGTAACTCCCTGCACCAGAGCACTCACCAGGACATCTTGTAACGACCCACCGGAGCACTCACCAGGACATCTTGTAACGACCCACCAGAGCACTCACCAGGACATCTTGTAACGACCCACCAGAGCACTCACCAGGACATCTTGTAACGACCCACCAGAGCACTCACCAGGACATCTTGTAACGACCCAGCAGACCACTCACCAGGACATCTTGTAACGACCCAGCAGAGCACTCACCAGGACATCTTGTAACGACCCACCAGACCACTCACCAGGACATCTTGTAACGACCCACCAGACCACTCACCAGGACATCTTGTACCGACCCACCAGACCACTCACCAGACGACCCACCAGAGCCTCACCAGGACATCTTGTAACGACCCACCAGAGCACTCACCAGGACATCTTGTAACGACCCACCAGAGCACTCACAAGGACATCTTGTAACGACCCACCAGAGCACTCACCAGGACATCTTCATACGTCAACTCCATCACCGTGTTGCTCAGGCTGCGCCCGGGCAGCATCAGCCTATACTCCGCCATATTGCGCCCCGACTTTAAAGACCCCACAGAGGCCCCAGGCGTCTGCGCGCTGCTATTGCTACTATGAGCCGCATATCCTCCCCCAGCTCCTCCGCTTCCCCCTTCCCCTCCGCCGATTCCGCCCCCCGCTTCCGCGGCTATAGCTGCTGCTAGCCCCGGGCCTGCCACGTGGCTCATCGGTTGGCTCGGCGTCTGGCTCGGAGTGCGGCTCGGAAACTGGCTCGACATGTTGCTGCCAGGCTCGGCAGCCGACGCGTACGCCGAGGCTGGTGCGTACGGTGACGCCGCGCCGCCTTCCACGGTAACGCTTTGCACACCGCTGTGCGCAGCGCTGTTCACGCCGCTATGCACGGCGCTGACTGCGGCGCCCCAGCCGCTGTGGTTCGACGCCCCGCTGTGCGGAATCATGGCGGAGGGGTCGTGCGGGGGAAGGAGATTCGCGCCATGGTCGTGAGCGGGAACCGCGGCGGACGGAGCGGCAGGGACGTGAGCTTGTTGCTGATAGGCAGATACTGTGCCTGTCAGGGTGGGGATAGTAGGGAGAGGAAAGGATGGGGAAGGGGGGGGGAAGGAAGGGGGGAAGGGGAAAGAGTGGGCAGAAAAAGGCACAGGCGGAAGTGGGAAGGAGGGGGAGACGAAAGGATGGGGGAGACGGATGAAGGGGAGAATGAGACACGGGGCTGGAGAGTAACCGCCTACTTGAAAGCGCAAGCTGCAGGAGCCGAAAATACAACAATGAAGCACAATCAGAAAAAGGACAGAATAGACCAGAAGCAGTATGAGTCAGCCCGTAATACACAATAGACCGAAACAAAGGAAAAAAACAATAAAAACACCAAAAACAAAAAACGAAAAACAAAAACAAAACAAAAAAAGTACTCACCAAGATCAGCCACCTTTCCAGTCCCTGGCCATAGCCTTCCAAACACTCCACCACCTCCCCTCTTCCCCGCTTTTCCCGCCGCATATCCCGCCGCGGCAACCGCGCCAGATGTCCCGTAATCCTCCCCCCGCCCGTCCGCGCCCGCCGCGACGTCTTTAATCGGCGCAAAGTCCTTGGTCTCCGCGCGGCGGCGCCGCAGGTAGATGTAGAGCAGCACGAGCGCGACGCCCAACAGGAACGCGACAACCACGCCCGCCGCTAAGCCCACGTATAGCGCAATGCTATTGGTGGACGGCGACTCGGCAGGGGCAGGAGGAGGGGGAGAAGAGGAGGACGGGGAGGAAGAGGAGGTAGAGGCGAGAGAGGAATCGTCCAACGACGCTGTGCTGTTGTCACTGCTGCTGCTGCCGCTGCTGCTGTCACTGCTGTTGCTGCTGCCGCTGCTGCTGTCACTGCTGTTGCTGCTGCCGCTGCTGCTGTCACTGCTATCTCGGCTCGTGGACCCCGCATTGTCCGGCGGAACTTCTATAGCCGGCGTCTTCGTTTTGCCGGCTGCTGAATGCGGCGGAGAGGCAGTCTCGTCGGAAGGCGCAGGCACGGATTTAGGCGGTAGCGACGGGGAGCGGGTTGTACTGGGGACGGGGTTATTATCGGGGAAGTCGGCTGTAGGCGGCTCTAGAGGAACAGCGGGAAGACGCACTTTATCCGGACTGCTTTTTGGCGGAATCGTTCCAACTGGCGGCTTGACGGCAGGCGGCTTGACGGCAGGCGGCTTGGTTGCCGGCAATGGCTTGACGGATGGCGGTTTGGCAGCCGGCAAAGGCTTTGTCGTAGGGGGCTCAGCAGCAGGCGGCTCAGCAGTAGAATTCCCCCTTTTGCCTGCCTTCCCTCGACCCTTCTTTCCGCGTCCCTTCCTTCCCGAGCCCTTCTTTCTTCCTGTCTTCACCAGCCCCGGAATTTTCGGGCCCGGGGCGTCTGGCTCCGGTATTATCGAGATGGGGTCTGACGTCAGCGGGGGGGGCGCGCCAGCGGTAAGGTTCGTGGAAGGTGCGACCTCGAACGGGTTTCCCGAAACGTCTAGTGACTCTAACGCGGTCAGGCGGCTGAGCGACGCGGGAAGCAGCCCCGTGAAATTGTTGTTTCGCAAATTGCTTTGGGATTCGGGGGGACGCGGCAATGACGTAAGAGGATGAGTCGAAAGAAAAATAAAAATAAAAAAAGACGACGAGCCTACCAGAACCTGAACAGAAAGGACATTTTATCCTCAATGTACAATAACAAAGGAGTGTAGTTATGTCATCTAGACTTACAGTTTCGTGAGCTCCACGAGGTCGCCGATCGCCTCCGGGATCTCCCCTCCCAGATTGCAGTTGGGCAGCTCTCTGCAGAAAAGAGTGTGGGGGGTGGAAGGGGGAAAGGGGAGGGGAGTACACCTAGTCCGCGGTATTTTAACCGGCGCTATCTTAACCACGCGAGGGTACTTCTCCTTTATCAAACTTATTTAGTCGGGTTGTTTCAAACTTTACGAGGGTAGAATCTAGCATTCCCTTCGCGAGATGACAGCAGAAAAAACTCAGTGAATGCCGAGTGTGACAAATGTCAATCCGTCTATCTTGGAGCACTAAGTGTGACTTCCTTAGACGGAAGTGCTTTCGGCTGCAGAATCGTAGCCTCGATGACTCTGGGTGCTAATAACATTACCCAGAAACGAACAAAGGGGGTTTGAAAGAACAAAGTTCACCGCGGACTAGGTGTAGTGGGAGAGGTGGGGAGATGGTGGGGTTTGTGGGGAGAGGGCCAAGGGGAAGAGTGCGAGGGGAGGAGACGGGGCTGGGGGGCGGTTGGAGAAGAGAGAGAAGGGGGGAGATCAGGAGGTTATGCAAGCTGGTGAAACGGTCAGACTGCTAGTCATTTCGCGGAAACGTTTTCTCAAAGATAGCACTCTGATTACACAGCATATGCCGCGATAAGGCCTTGCAGCGGCTTTGCCGTGGGGACGATGGCCCGTCGGCGATATGACTGCGATAACGAGCCGCAGTGGTCGCCGAACCAACTCTTGCACGCCGCGGTGATCGCCGAACCAACTCTTGCACGACTCCAACTCTTGCACGACTCGAACTTCGACTCCCCGCAAGTCGACCTGCTAGTCGATTAAAACTGTCTACGCCTAAACGGAACTGTACCGAAGCAACTTACATCGAGACAACGGCCCATCGATGTTTCGACCGCGTCGACTCCCCGCAGTTCACGCCGAACCACTCCTTCTTGCACGGCTCGAAGCCCTCCCAGTCCGCCAAAGCCGAAGCGTTGCTCACAGAGAGCTTGAACACCTGCAGCGCGGACACTGGTGGTTGGAGTGAGGAAGTGGGTGGGTGAGAAGAAATTAGCAATCATACAAGAAAAACGGAAAGTGGGTTCAGAATTGTGGTTTGACACAAGCCCTCCAGGCCGATGCGTTGCTCCCGCAGAGCTTACACACCTGCAGCGGCGACATTGGTGATTGGAGTGAGTGGGAGATAGAGGGCTACGGGAAAACCGAGGTGTGGGAACGTGGGGTGGAAAGCATATAGCAGGGCCTCTGCCAGTCCGTCACCACCGACGCGTCATTCACGGGTAACTTGAACGGCTGCAGTGCGTATGCTGGTCGACCAATGTCGGCGTGTGGGGAAAGAGGGGATGAGGAAGAAGGGGGAGACGGGGAGGGGGGAGGGGGAGAGGGAGGCCTGGGGGAGTAGGCTCGATTCCGAGATTCCGAAGTGCATGCGCCAGTTGATGGTGATTTCGTGAATGCGTCGGCTGCATACGTGCCAGTCGCCCTACAATATCCTTTCTGTTGCATTGGCGGCAAAGTGATTTCCGAATGAACACACGAGCGTGGTGTGGTGTCGTGGCACACGGGCAGTGCAGCAGCCAGATCAGATGCGCGCATTGCAACACACGGAATATAACGGACTACAGCGACGAGCTGAATGTCAACCAGAGAAACCTACCGTCTCCCATGACGGTCTTGGCGTGAGCTCTTGAACTCCAATGCGATGCTGTGACCAGCAGCAGCAGCAGCCACATCTGCGCTCCTCGTTCCAGATCCATCACCCTTCTCCGTTGCCCCGTCGCGAGGTTATCTGTTAGCCTCCCCACCCTTCTTTGACAATATGAGTTTTGAGACGACTCGATCACACAGCGATAACTACTCCCCACGCCTCCACTCTATCCCGAGGCGCTCGGCAGCCTTTTAAGGCCTGATACGTCTTCGACAGTCCGCTTGCCTACTCTATACCGGGTCCTCGTAACACCCCTACTAGCACGTGTCACTGACAGAGTTCGTAAGGACAGGGTTTCCTTATTGTAGCCCTTGAGAATCCTGACGCGGACGAGTCGAATTGAGAAAACACCTAAAAATAGCTTGTGCTGGAAAATCTGGGTGGACCAAGTGATGTCGCTATGCGAGTCGTATGTCACATGACGAAGCACACAACTGAAAGCCAAAGTTTCTTTGTCGACTCAAAAAACGACCAGAAAGTCCAAGCCTGAGTTGTGGGGTAACAAGAAATGGCGGACTCGCTACCGAGAGGAGACTTCAGCCAATCCAGACTTACCTGACGACAATCATGGCCTAGACCATGTCGTGCTGAGGACTATCTAGAGCATGAGTAGGGCTTTACCATGCCCAGCCGAGGGCTGTTGGCACGAGGGCTGGAGGAGGACTGTTGGCGAACCCAACGTGACGAGTCGCGAGCGAGCGATGGGGAAAAGCAGAGTCAGGTCGGGTTGGGGATGGCTGGACGTGAATCTGCTGACGGTCGAGATGAGAGTTGACATTGAAAATGCGTGTCAGATTGAAAATGCGTGTCAGACGGAGGAGCACGAAGAGAGAAGCTGTTGGCCTGTTGTCAGTTGCTTTGAGCAGCTAACATCAGGCATTGAGATTATAGTACACTTGGGCGGAACCTTACAAAGAGGTAAGAATCTACATATTTATTTGCACTTATAATCACATTATGCAATATTACTGAAACGTATACTAGTATGTCCTAAGTAAATGGTCAGCTGATTATCCCGTTATTATCAAAGCTGCTACTGTTGAGATTTTACGTTTTATGAGTTAGCATTCCTGTATGGGGGCCGACTGTACCCAGTCAGTAGAGTCGAAGCGACATCGGCATCCGTCAGACCAAGACGGATGCAGGCATAAACATTCGCACCGTTTGAATTCGCTGTAGGAATGTACCATTTAGAGTACATGGCTAGTCTAGGCCGTTTTTGTCAAACTTATATGTTGCATGTTGTTTAGGCTGTAGTGGGGTAGAGTTACGGGTGCAATGAATCGAAGTAGCGAGGATTGCACTAAGGTGTCAAACGAGTACAAAATGTGAGCGAAGGCGTGAGCGAACATTTATACGTGAAACATGCAAACGGTAACGCGGTGCGTGCGAGCTAGCTAATGCTACGCTGGAAGCGAGGCTCGGGCTAGTCCCGAAGCGTAGGCCGACACGACCAGGCCAGCAGTGCGAGGTTTGGTGAAACAGTGCGTGCGAAGTCGGCGAAGCCCCGTTAGCAGTAACGGGCGAACAACGGCTGCTGCTGTACGCGATATTGCAGGGTGCGCTAAGGAATATCGAGAAAATTCCTTACACTACCCCCCCCCTTCAAGAAGCCCCCTCCGCTACGCGAGTGCGTGTATATCTCGGAAGCCCCGGCTTCTCAGGTACACTTGCAGGGCAGGGTGGTTTTCGATGTTGGCCAGGGGCACCCAGCTGTCCTCAGTTGGCGTGCGATCATTCCAGCGAACGAGGAATTCAATCCTCTTGATTCCCGTGAGGTGTCAAATCCGATGGCTCATGATTTTTTCGGGCTCGATGATCGGCTCCAATGCACGGCGAGTCATGGATGGCGGGCGGTGGCGAGGCAGTTGGCTTGTGGTTGGGATGTATGGGCGAAGCAAGCTGACGTGGACGGTCTGATGGGCGTCACTAGAGGGAACAACATCAAGAATTCTTGATGACGCGGTCTTGATGACATAGATGTCCACTTACTGGAGGGAACAACATCAAGAATGGTCTTGATGACGCAGTCTCCCTCAAGACCAAAGTGAATCTGTCAAGACAAAAAATGTGAAAACGGGAGGAGAAAAGAAGTGAAGAATGCAAAGAGGGAAATTTATAAAGAGGGAAGTACGGTTGCAAGAAAGAGGGATGAAGGAATCGAAAGGAGGAAAGGAGGGAAGAACAGAAAAAGGGAATAGTGAAAGGACGAATGAAGAAATATGTGTCAAATGTTATGTCTACTACAGTTTGTTTAGGCTATAGTGGGGTAGTCACTATAGGGTACAGTAAGTTTAGGGTTTCCTACTTGTACCCAACTCTTTCCTAGTGCAATCACTCTTGTTTATTCTAACATAGTATCACGAGCCTAGGTTGCCACCTAGGACCGCTTACTACTACGGGCCCACTATTCCGCTAGAAGCGCCCTCGTGCGCCCTCGTGCGCCTTTCTCTGCTCGTGCGCCCTCGTGCGCCCCCCTTTTTTTTCTGCTAGTGCGCCCTCGCGCGCCCCGCCTTTCGTTCTGCCTGCGCGCCGTCCTGCAGCCCTCGCGCTGCCTCCTGGTGCCCTAGGCCAGTGCGCCACCCCTGCAAGCTAGTAGGGCCCTCGAGCCGCCTTTGCAGGTCCGTCAGGCCCCCGAGCCGCCTCTGCAGGCCCGTCAGGCCCCTAAGCCGCCTCTGCATGCCCGTCAGGCCCGAGAGCCGCCCCTGCAGGCCCGTCAGGTCGGCGCGCTGCCCTTGCAGGACCACGCCGCCCGTGCGCAGCTTTTGCCCGACCGCGCGCCGCCCCTGCAGGCCCTCGCCATCCGCACGCAGCCTCTGCAGGCCCGTCAGACCAGCACGCGACCCCGTCAGGTCGCAGTCGCGGCCCCGTCAGGCCGCAGTCGCGGCCCCGTCAGGCCGCAATCGCGGCCCCGTCAGGCCGTAGTCGCGGCCCCGCCCTGCCATGACGTGGCCCCGCCAGCCCTGCAGCTGACGCGGACGCGCCCTCTTGCTGACGCGGCCGCGCCCTGCTACTGACGCGGCCGCGCTCAGCTGCTGACGCAGCGTCGCCCCTGCCCGCCGCGTCACCCTGCTCGCCGCGTCGCCCCTGTCCGCGGCGTCGCCCCTGCCCGCCACGTCGCTCCGCTCGCCGCGTCGCCCCTGCCCGCCGCATCGCCCTGCCCCACCCCACGCCGGGCCCCTGGAGCAGCCGCCCCTGCAGCAGCCGCCACTGCAAGAGCCGCCCCTGGCGCCTAGAGCAGCCGCCCCTGGAGCAGCGGCCCATGCAGCAGCCGCCCCTGGCCCCTGGAGCAGACGCCACTGCTGCAGCCGCCCCTGGCCCCTGGAGCAGCCGCAACTGCAGCCGCCCCTGGTCCCTGGAGCGGTCGCCCCTGCAGCAGCCGCCCCTGGCCACTGGAGCAGCCGCCATTGCAGGAGCTGCCCCTGGCCCCTGGAGCAGCCGCCCCTGCAGCAGCGAACATCGCGGCCCTGTCCCTGCCCTGCACCAGCTCCCGCGGAGCTTCCTGCCGCGGTTGCGGCCCCGCCCTGCCGCTGTAGCGGCCCCGCAGTCGCCTCCGTCGTGCGCCTACCCTTCCCACCACTGGTGAGCACTGCCCTGCCCCTGCTGCTACTGCTAATGCTACTCCTGCTGCTCCTGCTTCTACTACTGCTTCTTGCGTGGCCAGATGCATCTCCAAGGCCGTCCGGGTGTATCCCTCACGCCCCAGCAGCTTCGTAAGTGGTACGCCAGTAAGGGTTGTCGCGGTGGCACTAGTAGGAGTTGTCCTGGAGTGGGTAGTTCGGGAGCTTCTTGTAGTGGCCCTGTGCAGCAGCAGCGTCGTCCGCGAGAGACTCTTTCGCCCCAGCAGCTTCGTGAGTGGTACGCTCAGAGTAGAGGGTCGCTGAGTAGTGCTCGCTGCCCGTACGTTATTAGCACGGGTGTCCGGACTGGTCAACCTTGCGGGACGAGTGGTCACACAGTGTCCCGCTGCTTCCCCCGTCTGAGTGACGCTTGGCGTACAGAGTTTGGCGACAACGCTGAGCTCCCCGACTGGGTGGAGCTGCTTAGGCAGAGGGTAGATATCTTTGCTCTGAACTATGATGCTATTCTTACTAAAATGTATGCATTGTCTACTAGTGCCGAGGGAGCCTGTCATCTGTGTGTGCCGCCTGACCCCGGTATCTAGTCTGCTGCTCCAGGTGCCGGTGAGGCTGCCGCTCTAGGTGCTACTGCGTCTGCTGCCCCTGGTCCTGGTGAGGCTGCTGCTCTAGGTGCAGGTGTGTCTGCTGCTTCAGGTGCTTGTGGGTCTGCGCCTTCAGGTACTGCGTCTACTGAGGCACTGCACACCTTCACACTGGACTCAGGTGCTTTCCGCTGTTTCTTTCGCAACCGCACTGCCCTCGAGTAGCTCCCTAGGCCGGTTGCTGTCTCCCTGGCTGACCCCTCCGGGGGTCCGGTCCTTGGGACCTCCACC